AAATAAAAGGACAGGAAATGTGGAAAACGGCAAGACAAGTCTGCAAGTTGACAAGAAATAGGAGATAAAAGCTTGTTTAATTCTCCAGGGGTGTGAGGTGGGACAGGGGAAAGAGGGAGGAAGAGGCCAAGAAATACATCATAAAAGGAGCAATATTGGAGTTGAATATTTAAGGATGAGATATCAGACACTTACCAGAAAAGTGATGCAGAGCAAGAGTAGATCTTAGGCAAAGGAAACAATGTGTGCAAAGCAAAAGCATGGTGACTTGAGGGAAAGTGTCATGTGCAAGGACAATGAGATAGTATCACAGTGATAAAGAGCATGGGAAGGATTCAGGAGACACTCAAGAGGTAGAAGAGAGTAGGCCCAGTGAGCAATTGAATGTAAAGTCTCTGAGAGAAGTCATCTCGATGACTTCAAGATTTGAAGTTTGAGGTCTGAAAGATGGGTAGCTCCGTTCAACAGGGTAAGAACAATAAGAGAAGAAACCATTTTGGAATGAGAGGGTGAAGTTAATGAGTTCCATTTTTAGACTTGCTGAGTTTGAGGTTCTTGTGATACACACAAGAAATATCTGGGAGGTAGTCTGAAATGCTGACATAGATCTCAGGTAAGAGTTCTGAGTGAGACTATAAAATTGAGATTTATCAGTGGATGAATAGTTGAAGCTTTGGGTGAGGGCAAGTTTGCTCAGGAAGAATGTATAAAGAGACAATGATCAAAAGTGAAATCCTTAAAAACAAACAAACAATCAAACTTGAGGGGGTGGGCAGACTATGTGAAGAAGAATGAGAAAGAATGGCTTGAAAGGGAGGAAAAGCAGGAAGCCAGGGGTGGTAGAGAGTGAGGCTGAAATAAAAGGGAGTAATCAACAGTGTCAGTTGGAGTAGATAAGGAACAAAGTGTCCCCTGGATTTAGCAGAAGCCATTGCTCCAATAGGATGAACATTTCAAAGAAATGGTGGGAGTGAAAGTCAGAAAAAGAGGGCTGTGGACCAAATGGTAAATGTGGAAGTGCAGACTGCTGTTTCAGAGCAGCAGGATGGAACAATGAAAGAGGGGGCAATAGGTTATAAAGAGCAAGGCGAGTGGGGCAAGTCTGCATAACTGACCAAACAAGTTAACAAGGAAATGGAACATGCCCTGTAACAGCACAATTAGTAACTCACCGCAGAAATTCCTCCTCCTGTGAAATCCAACTCTCCCCTAGTGGTTGGCTCTGACACATATTTCTAAAAGAGTTAGTTCCAGATCCCAACTTTGAAATTATGGATTCTTTCCATTATCATCCACATTCTGTAGTTACTGATGGTTTTGTTGTAATATATTTAGATATGATTTTGTTAGCCATTTCTACAACTACTTCAACCACCTCATAGCCTTAAAAATAGTGGGAAAATGATGATTGATAAGTTCACCAACATTAAAATTCACAGTTCAAAGATTCAGTAAATTCCAAATTGCTAAGATTTCCAAAGATTCAGCAAATTCCAAATTGCTAAGATCTAGCCATGTTTCATATTATTTTCCGAGAATATACTAAATATAAGATAGCTTATCCAAATCATCCTCTACAGTGTTGATGATTTCTTAACATTCAAAGTGATTAATAGGGAATTTTATAATCTCATGCTTTTGATCGAGGTGTTTACATGGTCATATCAGGAAATATTTACTATAGTCTCAAATCCTATAATAGCATATGTTCCAAAGGTATATGGCATATCATATTAACAATAGTGATTGCTGATCAAAAAAGTTGATTTCCTCAAATCAAATCAAAATATAGGATTTGGTTATGTCTATATATATGTGTGTGTGTATATATATATATATATATATATATATGTATATGTCAAAACTCTTAGTTTTGGCCAGCTGGCTCTAGATGGATGAGAACTTTAGAGGTCCAACCTACTTTTTTCATACCTGGATAATAAAACAAACTTGAAGAAATTACACTGGCTTCTTTTTGTACTGTCTAATGCAGAAGGTAATTATGAAATCATGAACTCATTAAGATTTTATGGTAGAGAAAATTTTGGTCCCATGTCCTTCTTTGTTTACTGTGACATACCCCAAAAATACAGTCTCCGAGGTAATTGCAAGATCTTATCGCCATTCAGAAATCATTAACAACATACCAACTGGTTAAAGATTAGTAACATAAAAAGAGATCATGCAAATAAATGAGAGTATATGTAGTACTGCTTGATTCCTACCAGGGTATCTCTCCGGGGTATGGTGTACTTCAACAACATAAGAGACAATATACTATCTCTGAAACAGAATCATTCAAAATGTCTCTAATCAGGCATGAGAGCAGGAGACAACTTGAAAGTCATTAAAGGTAATTAACTCTATAAAATAAAGATAATTTACTATGAAACAGATAATTTCCTTGAATCTCATAATAGAGGCTCTGTCCTCATAATAGAGGCTCTGTCTGAGCCTGTACTTATGGACCATACTCCCATAGCAGACATTACCCACGGGAAGACAGAATATGTCACTGGAACTACCATTTGCCTGCCACAGCACCCAACTATCTAACCCATGTGGAAACTTCATACTTGCTCAACAAAATAATAAATGATTTCATTAACATTACAACTTTGAGAAGATTCTAAACTAGATTAGACATAATTCTGAATTGAGCAGATTCGGAAACTGTTGCAAGATACTCTGCTGTCGAACCATACCATCGTATATCCCCCCAAGTTAGCTTAGAGTAGTGAAAAGAATGTAAATTAAGAACAGAAAACCCCAGGTTACCACTCAGCCTGCATTAATGTAAGTGACTTGCTCCCACCCTCTACGGTTTTTTGTCTCTTGTGGAAACCATGATGACAACTTTCATTTCCAGATGTGACTCTGTGTCAGGGGAGACTGAATCATATTCAGCCAAGGTTAGAAGTACCATCAGAAATCAGAGTCAAGATGAAAACAATAAATTAGGAAGTCAAGGCTTCGGAGCAGTTAATGACTCACTCAAGGTTAAAGATTAGATAGTTAGAGAGATGAACTGGAAGCCATTCGTGGTAATTAAAAAAGATGATTGCATGTGTGAAGCAATTACATTACACATGAAAGTTATTTTAAGAAAGAAATATGTTCACGTAACGACAGTGAGGAATTACATGACCAATTGGAAGGGTCTCTTCTGTTTAGGGGCCCCAGAGATCATCTAATCAAATATCCAACTTTTATAGGTTGATTAAGCTCAACTTGGATGAAAACTGAGGTCTCTTTTTTCTATGAAAAAAGCTATCTTATATGTCAAAACACTTCCTAAATTATCAAGGGACAAAGAGCTATAAAAATGTTAGGAGAAGCCAGTTAGGAGAATGGATTACCACTTAAAGTTGAAAAGGGCTCTTCCAAGAAATTCACAGTGAGGTTCAGGGCAGTGGTACTGCCGTTTGGGGTGCAGATGTGTAAGTGTGACACTGAGAAATGTACTTTGTATGTTATTAATATGATGATGGCAACTGTGCACACAAGCTGGTGTGATCCAAGATAGTCAAATTATACACCAGCAGTAAAAAAACTACAGGTATATCCTAACTGAGAGAAACCCATTAAGTTTATAGCTTGGGTCCATTTTCCAAATGATTTATAAGCTTGCACACTTAATCTCTGTGTTATCTCTAAGTTAATCTCTAAGTTAATATTGCCTTAACAGAACCTTGACTATGTGGTTCCATTTTCAAAATCCTTAGTGTCCCTTCTCCATGCAGGTGGCATAAACTCTTTTGGCTTTTTCTGATGATTTCCCCCCAAATACTGTCCACGAAGAGGCAGTAAAATAAAATGCTCAGGTGGGAATCAGATATCCTCAGGGTTGAATCCTGGCTTCACCGTTCACTGGCTCTGCACTGGGAGGAAATTCCACAGCCCATGCAAGCCTCAGTCTAACTGAAGCAGCACAGGTCAGAGCAGGTCTCTGTACAATGCTGAGTGCAGAAAAGTTTGTGACAATGAGGAGGATACTGATGTATATGGCTTAATGAGAAGGGGGTCATAAATGCTCAGGGCTCTCCTGCCTTCTCTGCTTTGCCCATGGGTTTGCAATGGTAGAAAATGCCTTTTATTCTTTTTACAAAGTTTAAAAGACCCAACTTAATCCCACCTTCTAGAGCCTAGCACAAGACCTTGCAATACTTCTTTTCAAGATAATAATGATTCGGGGTACCTGGGTGGCTCAGTTGGTTAAGTGTCTGCCTTCAACTCACATCGTGATCTCAGGGTCCTGGGATGGAACCCTGTATCCAGCTCCCTGCTCAGCAGGGAGTCTGCTTCTCCATCTGCCCCTCCCCCTTGTACTCTCTCCCTCTCTTTCTCAAAATAAATAAATAAAATCTTTAAAAAATAATTATTAATAAGTATACCTGAACTTAGAGGGGCCTCTTATCCTGAAAAAATAAAAACTAAGTCAGATAATGCCCATCCCATTAAGATGATACTTGATATTCATACTTGTCTTTTAATATTCTAAAATAGTTAAAAAGTATGAAATAGTATGGTGTAATATATGTGTGATCTATATCCCAAAATATCCCCTAAAATCTCCTCAGGCAGGCTGTTTATACTCACTATCTCCATCTGAAATCCTAGAAACTTTGTTTTCTGGGGGAATTAATTTGCCCCTGAAAAAATGTTTCCCCACACCCAATTAAGGACAAAAATAATTAGTGGAAGCTCTGTTCAGACAGAAGGGTAGATATATTAAAAACGATTCAATGTGTGTTCTATGGTAGGAAGAACTAAATCACTACTCCATTCTAAACCTATCAAAGAGAATAAAAACTTTGAAGTCTCATTTTGAATGATTTAAGTACTTGCCAATTCATCATATGATATGATTGCCTCTCACATAAACATGACCTCTTCCCCATGTGTAAAAAACGGGATTATATTCCCTAGCACATACGTCTGATTTGATCTGAAGACAAGTCGTTCTCCTTCAGACGTCTGCCTGTGTATGTAACACTTACTGTGCCAAGGTCAATGATGAAGCAGTCGCCCTTGTTGAAACTGTCCCAACTAAGGGGAACTTCCGTAGCCCTGACCACTCTCCGACCCTTCACATGCAGGAGCCTCTTAGCGGTCAAGTCATTTGTGAGAACATGATTCAGTCCAGATGCCACGCCTCCAGCCTGGTCAGTGGGGGGTTAGACAGAAAACAAAGCAAAAACAGATGAGGTTTCTAACTAGATACAAAAACATATAAAACCACAGGTATACATGCCTAAACTGCCTGTCAGGCCAAGACAAAAGAGCCACCTAATGGCATGTGAAACATTAAGTATGCAGAAGAGAATACCTTGGAAAATCAACACTTTTTTTTTTCTTTTAAGGCCTTTTGCCCTTCCTGTTTTAATCATTCAATTTAACATCGAAAGTATTTACTAAGAACCTTCAGTGGATAAAACCTGTGACATAAATGAAAAGAAGCAGTAGCTCGTGTTCTTTGGGAACGAATGATTCTAAAACCAGTTAAGTGAGAGGCAGACAAGATTTCTAGGAAAAAGAAGACAGGAGAGGAGAGGAGAGTCAGAGTTAACAAGAGCAAGTGAGGAGAGAACTAGCCACACCCAAAATTCTCATGTCCCACACAGTGTTAAGACACAGAAGTGGAGTTGAGTCCTGGCCAGGGATGAGTGGATACCATTTATGATCTTTGTTTTAACATTATAAAAATTGTTTTTCCTTATTTCTCTCTGTCTCTTCTTTCTTTCTCTCCCTTTCTCTTTTTTTCTTTCTATGCCAGGCCCGAGTATTTATACCTTAAATTTGGTTGCATATCTGAAAACAAAACAAAACAAAACAAAACTATATGCAATTTAAAAAATACTAAGGAAAATAATGAACCATATCAAGTACATCTTCCTGTCTTCTTTGAAACCAGCTTTTACCTTTTCACTTTTTCCTTTAATTAAATGTTAGAAATTATAATCTTTATTTATTTCCACAATTAATTATGAGGTAACATGCATAATAAAGATGCAGTGTTAGCAAATCACTTTTATTGCTCAAAAACCTCCTATATTAATATGGTAAGAAAATTAGCAGTATAAGAAACCTACAAAATGATTAAGCATATGACTCTTCCTTTTAGCCCAGGTCATGGTCTTAGGGTCATAAAACCGAGCCCCAAATCGGGCTCCATGCTCAGTGTGGGGTCTGCTTGTCCCTCTCCCTCTGCTCCTCTCCCTGTGCATGCTCTCTCTCTCAAACAAATAAAATATTCTTAAAAAGTTTATTCATAAATGTACATAATAAATCCAAAGAAAGACATTAAGTTGCCTATGTAATCATTAGCACATGTTTGAAATTTCCACTGACTTTATTTTTTTTTTAAGTTATTTACTTATTTGTCAGAGAGAGAGCACACAAGCAATGGGAGTGGTAGGCAGAGGGAGAAGCAGGCTCCCCACTGAGCAAGAAGCCCAATGCAGAAATCGATCCCAGGACCCTGGCATCACGACCGGAGTTGAAGGCAGACACTTAACCAGCTCAGCCACTCAGATGTCGCGAAATTTCCACTGACTTTAAATTACCACCATTCTCCAGGAAAAGACCTTCATAAATAGAAAGGTTTTATTACTATAAGCTAAAAGCTGACTTCAGGACAATTGTAACCACAAATTTTATGAAATATATAATAATTTCTCAGTCCATAATTTTATCAAGGTTGCCATAAATAAACAAAGTATTATACAATAAAAATAAACACAAGTTTTCATCCACATATTACTGTTTTCGGCCATTTCACTTTTTAAAAAAATAAGTACCTTGTGATCTGATAAACAGTGTAAGAACATTGTGATCTGAAAAAAGTTACAAAATATAAAACAGACTGATGATACTTATATAACATTTAAGCTACTGCCATATAGTGATATATATATCACAGAGTGATATATTTAACATTTAACAGCATTTTTAAAAAATTTTATTTATTTGACAGAGATCACAAGTAGGCAGAGAGGCAGGCAGAGAGAGGGGGGAAGCAGGCTCCCTGCTGAGCAGAGAGCCCGATGCAGGGCTCGAGCCCAGGACCCTGGGATCATGACCTGAGCCGAAGGCAGAGGCTTTAACCCACTGAGCCACCCAGGTGCCTCTTTAACAGTATTTTAAAAATTAATTTTGTCTTAATAAAATTTGATGTAAAAAGGCAAAAAGAAAAACTGTAAGTTTCATATATGTTGGTATTTCATAGTAAGTATTTCTGCAATAGTGTTTGAATTAACCCTAGAAACCCCCAGTCTCTTTCTACCTTCGCACAGCAGAATGAAAGCAAAGTGGATGATCCTTTAAATTATTGACACTATTAACACAGTTTTGCTGGCTGATGGATGTTTGACAGTTGCTATTTACAATCATGGCTGAGAGCCAGGTCTTACTGAGCTTGGGAAAGAGATTTAATATAAGGAAGTAGTGGTAAGGGACACCTGGGTGGCTCAGTTGGTTAAGTGTCTGCCTTTGGCTCAGGTCATCACCTCAGGGTCCTGGGATAGAACCCCAAGTCGGACTCCCTGCTCCGTGGGAAGCCTGCTTCTTCCTCTCCCTCTGTCTGCCGTTCCCCCTGCTTGTGTGCTCCGACTCAATCTCTCTCTCTCTGACAAGTAAATAAATAAGATCTTTAAAAAGAAAAAGAGAAAAAAAAGGAAGTAGTGGTAAATATTACTCCTCTAGAACTCCCCCAGCCTAAAAAGCCTCATAAAAAGAAACCTCGGGTCAATTAAAAGACATGAGAAGATGGTCTTAATGTTGCCTCGCTGAATCTTTACCTTAAACACGGCAACCTAATATGGCTGTTGCTGTCTTGGTAATGGTAGGCTTTGTCAAATTGTGTCATCCCAAACAGACACGATACCCTGTTTCATAGAGTAATCTTAAATAAAACAATTCACCTTGATATTTGAGACATTTATTTATACTGAGAGCGTCATAGTATAGTGATTACCAGTTTAGGCACTGAAGTTAGGTGGTCACCCAGTCACATACCCACTATTAGACCTTGTTAAGTTACATAATTTCTCAAAGCTTTTGTTCACTTATCTTAATAGGGTGACAATGATAGAAACTGCACCACCGGTGTTATTTAGATGAAATGAGATAATATACATGAAGTGCTTAGCACATTCTTGTAAGTATGCAATTAAGTACAACATAATAGTTTTTGTCATTCTGGGGTAGCTGGGTAGCTTAGTTGGTTAAGCATCTGACTCTTGATTTCAGCTCAGGTCATGATCTCAGGGTCATGAGATTGAGCCTGGTGTCAGGCTCTGAGCTCAACATGGAGTTTGGTTGAGATTCTCTCTCTCCCTCTGTCTCTGCCCCTCCTCCCAGTTGTATTCTCTCTCTCTCTCTCTACTTCTCTCTCAAAATTAACAAATAATATCTTTAAATAAATAGTCTTTGCTATTCTGGGTGGCAAATTATCTTTGCTTCCACATTTCTTATCAAGTATTTTGCAACTGCACACATTGTCATCTGCTCAATGTCACTAATGATAAAACAGTGAGCAGATTTTTTGCTGATAAATTTGACCTTCATTTGCAAATATCCTCTTACAAAAAAATGCTGATTTTTAAATGATTTTGATCTTGATAATTAGAAGATAATTACTTTATAACTGTAAAATTGCTTTTTCATGTTCACTTTTAAATATACATCTGGAAGTTTGATTTCAGAGGTCCTGCTGATAGCCAGAAGGATTAATAATATCACAAGTTCCTACTGACTGTATATGCACTATATACGTATTTTATTATTTAATTTGATCCTTAATCCTTACAACACCTATATGAGGAAGCTGTTGTTATATCCATTATATGTTTGAGGAAACTAAGGACAGAAAGCTTACATACTTGCCTGAGGTAAACAAGTCATATGGAACAGAAATGGGTTCATAACCGGGATGATGTCCTATTACATGCTTTCAGTAACTATAAGACCCAGCTTATTCAAAATGTTGTTTCATTGGCATAAAGAAAGTTTGAGAATCATTTGACATAAACTGTAGGAACTCACATGAATTAAATAAAATGAGAAGTCACACATTATTTCCTATTTAGGGTTGTTTATAACCTAGAGTGAAAAAAAATCACTTCAAGAGAGAAGGGGAATTTATGAGTGTTTATCCTCATCTCAACAGACATCACAAAATATTCACTAAGGCTCTGATTAGGCAAAAGTATAAATAAACCCTACCATTGTAGTAGATAAATTTAATATATATTCAGAATTCTAGTTTAGCTCTGAGGTCTTAGGTCTTCAGTAAGCTAACAGGCTCAAAGGGTAAGTTGGTGGAGTCTGCAGAAGACCCGTTGGAGCATGTCTGGTTTTGAAAAGGATTGCTACCGAAAAGTTTGTCGAGGGAGGTATTTCTCACACGGTAACTGAACATTCTTGGAGGCAGGGGAGATCGTGAAGGGTGGCCAGTCCACAAGGGTCATAGACCCATAAAGCGTCTATTACCATAGAAGGTAATATATTTCTTTGAAGGTTGCCTTCAAAGAAGGGAGCTACTTACCTTGTTTTCATTTCTTTTTCTCCCAGAAGGAAAGCTGGTTAATGATTAGTGTTTCAGGCCAAAACACATAAATTGTGTGCACATGTGTATAGCAGTGTAGGTATATTTGACTTGGTGAGGCTGAACCACACATATATTTAACTCAATGGTTCGCTTCATTTGCATCATTTCCAAGATCAAACCACACGATTTGGAAGATATGTGTATAGTCTTTTCTAGTAACTGGAATTATAATTGTTACAAATATTGCAACACAATATTCTAGAACAATTGAGATTCCCAAGTCTTGGGTCATCTGCAGCAACTTCAGAGGTTCTCTAGAATGGCATTAACAAAAATTGCGAATCCCCAAGTTGCCAATATTTAATTATTGAAAGAATTCCACAAAATTTTAAAGGGCTTTCTTGTGACAACATTACTGAAAGCTCTTAACTTTATTAAAAATTAACCTATTAAATGAAATCAATCCAGAACGTTTCACATATTACATCCATGTTCCATAAACACATATTGAGCACCTACTATGTATCCAGCAGGTTCTGGTATCATCAGTATACAAAACAGATTGAAACAAAAACAAACAAAAAACTCGGTCCTCAATGAACTTTCCTTCTCTGAAGACGTGAGGTGTGGATGGATAGGAAGAAAAAGGGCGTCATAATGGAAATAGTTCAAATGCAATACCTTGTATTTCAGACCTCCTTTGAAATAGCCAACAAAGTCAGTAGATTCATAGCCTTGAAGTTCTCTACTCTGCACTGGCTTGCCACCCAAATAGTCATCCATCTGAACAGTAAAGATGGCAGCTGCTGTGCTTTCATCCTGAGTACACTCCTTTCCTGAAACAGCAAAAGACAGCACTTCATTGATCAAGCAAAGAAAACGACTAAGGCAGAATTTTTGATATGAAAAGCTCTGAAATTTTCTTTGAATTTCTTGAATTATATATACATCAACACAATAGATCGTTTCAGCAGAACAATCTTTCGACAGAAATGTAATATAAAATATTATTTTGTTAATAGTTATAAGAATTGTTTTGTTCTTATTTTTCAATTCTTTTTTTTAAGATTATTTATTTATTTATTTGACAGACAGAGATCACAAGTAGGCAGAGAGGCGGGCAGAGAGAGAGAAGAGGAAGCAGGCTCCCCACTGAGTGAGCAGAGAGCCTGATGTGGGGCTTGATCCCAGGACCCTGGGATCATGACCTGAGCTGAAGGCAGAGGCTTTAACCCACTGAGCCACCCAGGTGCCCCTTGCTTTTCAATTCTTTTAAAAAACTGTTTAAAAGAAGCACCGCTGGGGGCGCCTGGGTGGTGCAGTGGGTTAAGCATCCGACTCTTGGTTTCAGCTCGGGTCATGATTTCAGGGTCATGGGATGGAACCCCATGTTGGGCTCCATATTCCATGCAGAGTCTGCTTGGGATCATCCCTCTCCCTCCTTCTGTCTCTCTCTAAAATAAATAAATAAATAAATCTTTTTAAAAACCCCCCCCACACACAACACTGATGTCTGTATATGTTCAAGAAGATATAGCACTATAGTCTAGTAGGATGCAGATTCATTGGCTAATAAGAGCAGACTATGAGAATGTTTTTCAATTGTTTTAGCCTTTATTAGCAACAGTCTGCTAATATGTTAATATTTGTAAGGAATATGAACATCACAGGCCACAGATAAATAGCTTTAGAAAAGCAAGTGGTTTTTAGAATGGGAAAATGAATATCACTTGACCTTATCCCTATTTTTAAGTCTTAGTGCCCTCACTTCATTAGCTTATTGGGTGTAAGATTACATTCTCTAAGTGGAAAGGGAGGGTAAGAGAAAGATGCTAACATCCGTTGAATGTGAATGTAGGTATTATTAACCCAAGAATTTAACACACAACACACATTTAATTTTCACAATTCTAGTATAAATCCAATCCAGGCAACCTCACTTAGGTTAAAAAAAAGCAATCCTCCAGAACTGGCATCTTCTGCATACATAGGGATCTGAGCCAGCCCTGACGGAAACTCAAATTTTAGAAAGCACACTTCAAAACCCTTACTACATCTGAGCTGTGTAAAAATCATAAATTATTCTAGAAATAATAACAGCCAACATTTATACATTTATAATATCCTTGATATGGGCCAGACACTGTGCTAGTGGTTTACATGGATAATCTCATTTAATCTTCAAGCAAACGCATGCAGCAAAAATATTTTCTACCATCTACAATAGAAGCAGTAAAGGCTTTGACAGGCCAAGTAACTTCATAAAGTTGACCTTTGGTAGAACATGACATAGAGGCAGGTTTCTGTGATTCTGGAGCACAGGTTCTTAGAAACTACAACACGAATCAATAGTTTTTTAATACTTGGACTCTCATCAGCAGTAACATGTTGTGGTGATTAGGTTATGCTATTTTATTCCATGAGTTAACTGATGTAGAAAATTTAGAAGCCGTAATAAAACTACAGTTCACAGGAAACTCCAACTGAGAGCATTAACCAAAGCTGAAGAAAGGGAAACAGCTATATTAATGAAAGAATTGGATTTCTTTACATTCCTCCCTTACTCTCAAAGAGAACCTGTGTAGCAATTTATCGTCTCAGGAAAAAAAAATCCACTAGCTGTAAGAGTATTTGACGTAGTATCAATTTTGTAAACTTGTTGTGGTCAAAGGAAAAAAAAAAAGACCTATACAACTTTGCAGTATGAAAGAACCCTAATGCCATTCTGCCCGCTTTCCCATCCATAAATGAAAATACGAATAAGGATACAGATGTAGATTTGCACAGATGTTTTAAGAGGGAACTTTAAATCAAGATTAATATCAAAAGCATTAAGCATAATGTGTTTGACATAAACATTCTTACTTGAGCACAAGTTGAAATGCAGATTTCTTTAGATGGATGTAAATGGATAGGCATGCAATTAATGAGCGAACTGGAATTAAGTTAATTACATTATGCTATCATCTTTTGATGCTTGTGTACTGAGCTGGACTAAGGAATATCAGTATGAATAAGCTAGAATCCTTGTTCTAAAGAAGTTGAAAGATCCTAAAGAAGTCAATACCAGCTTTTGAATGTGAAAACTAGAATGCAATTCAATATCATGATGCAATTGAGCAATGTTCAGAAACAAATGCACTTGCTCTATGAATTCTGCTTATGACCTCATTCATTTTCCCTTTTCTGATGTCTTTTACTAATGTCTTTCAAGTTATGATATGTTCTTTTGTGTTATGTTGTATTTTGTTGCTTTACATTATATTTGTACATATGTGGCAAACTTCAAAAATTGTTTTGAGGATATGATGACAGGAACATGAGGTACATGCTAAAAGTTGTATAATGTTAATGAAAAAAAAAGCAAAGACCTTAATAAATATAAAGACACAGTGTTCAAAAAAAAAAAAACCAAACAAACAAAAAAAAAAAAACAAAAGACATAATGCTCATGGATTGTAAGACCCAATATAATAAAGATGTCAATTTTTCCCAAGTTGATCCACAAGTTTAACACTATTCCTATAAAAATCATAGGAAGGTTTATTACGGGTTATTTGTTTATTGTAAAATTTATATGAAAAGGCACAGTCCCTGAGAGAGTTAAAACATCTTGATAAAGAAAAATAAGATCAGAGGAATAACTCTATCTGATACTAAGGTTTACTATACAGGTACAGTAATTAACACAGAGTTGTACTGGTAGGAGGAGGAACATAGATTGATGAACCAAATTTCCTCCAATGATCACAGTTTTCAAACTTGAGTACAGTCTGGTATACCACAATATACTAAAGCAGGAGCATGAAAGCACAGTACAGCACAGAATGCAAAAACCAGTATATTGACACTGACACAATCCACTTACATTTCTCATATTTCCCCAATTTTCCTTGTACTCATCAATGTGCAGTTAGTTCTCTAAATCACCTGTAAACTCACATATTCATTATCCCAGTCAAGATACTATATAGTTATATCATCAAAAAATCCCTTACATTGCTTTTTTATAACTACCCCCATCTCCCCCTCCCCACCCCATCCTTAACCTCTGATAACAACAAGTCTAAACTTGTTATTTAAAAAATGTTATATAAATGGGATCATACAGTATGAAACCTTTTGGCATTGGTCTTTTTCACTCAGAATAATTTACTGGGGATTCATCTGAGTTGTATGCATCAATAGTTTGTTCCTTTTTCTTGCTGAGTAATATTCTCTTGCTGAGAAAATAAAATTTCTTGCTGAGTAAGATATGCCACAGCTTGATTAATCAGTCACTTGTGGAAGGATATCCGGACCAAATCAAGTTTTCACTTATTCAGATAAGGCTTCTATGGACATGTATAAGTTTTTACATGAATATAAATTTTCATTTCTCTGGAATAAATGCCCATGAATGCAACTGCTGGGTCATATGGTAGTTGCAAGTTTAGTTTTGTAAAAAAACTGTCAAACTCTTCTTCATAATCGTTGTACCACTTTATATTCTCCCCCAAGCAATGTATAAAAATCCAAATTCTCAGCGTCCTCAGCAGCCCTATTTATATACTATAAGTTCCTTGAATTGTACACTGTATATTGTAACCCAATTCTTTGGATTCCCAGTGTCTTGCATAGAACCTAGCACAGACTAGATATACCACAAATGTTTACTGCTCTCAAATACATTTACGTAAAATTTAAAACTGGAAAAGAGAGATGAGGAGGGAGGGTGTTTGTAGCTTACGTCCAGGATGTGACTGAGTAGCTTTATCATCCAGCTGTGCTCAGAGACAGGAGGCTCTAAGTAACAAGAAGCAGAAGTGGGTACATCTAAACTGCTTGGTACAGAACTGAAATGGCTTTTATGGAAGGACCAGTGCAACATCTTTTAAGTTATATGCAACAAATTCTTACTTTGTAAAATAAATAAAGGAAAAAATAGTAAAAGGAACTAATCTGAGATAAGCAAGGGTATCATAGAAAGCTTCTGAGAGAGAGGGCAGGAAAGAGGACTCTTCCTCTCTTCTATTTTATGTCCTGCTGCTTCTTGCTTCCCCTTTACTCCTCTTACATGGTCTGTTTCTTTTCATCCAGGTAATTCTCCAACTCAGTCTGAGTCTAACTTCATTCCCCTCCATCTTCCTTCCAACTGATTTCCTTTAGTTGACTTCCTTTCCCCCTAAACTTTCAGCTCTCCCTCTTGGAACTTTTCCTCAATCTGCCTCTCTGATTAATTCTCATGAACTCATCCAAATATAGGTCTTAGGGTAGAAGATTTTGGATGAAATCCAGCTTGCTTCAGGGAACTAAAGTAGGAAGAGCTGCTGAACAATTCCACCTAAAGGCCGAGTGGACCATTTTACTCTAAACTTTTCCATGCTCCCCATGATTCTCTCTTGGACAAAATCCTTCCAATTACTATCATTTTCCTCTGTTCTGTCAAAGCTTCTCTCCTTCCCTGCTTCCCCATAACTACAGACACTGTGTCTTTCACAGCGTTTAGCTGTTCTACCTGTGTTATATCACTGGTCTTATTGTATCTTTGAGATTATAAACTTTCAGAGAAAGTCCATAAATTATTCACATGCAAAAATGCCTTACACAATGCTGGGCACATTGAATAACTATTGAATGAATTAACTTATTAATTAACACACTATTAAGTTCAGTTTTAGGAGACCTTTAAAAGCATGAAGTGTTTCTGCCCAAAGCATTTCCTATCACAGTTTTCAAACTGGTGAGCACTAAATGAATAATGGAGTTAACGTGCATCTGTAAACCATAAAAAAAAAATTTAAAGAGTGTAAGAAAGAACCTACAGAATAACCAACCCCCCAAAACAAACAAACAAACAAAACCCACAAACTGTGTTCAAAGCCTCTTGCAGTCCCCTGACAAACTTAACTGTGTCTACAACAAGATATGCAGTGCCTTCACTTCTTAATTCACCAAAATTACAAATGTGGCATTTCAGACACTTCTATTCATTCTAGATCCAAGTTCCAAATAGAAAGACCAAGATGACATTACTATTCTATCTGGCATCATTCATTCATGAACATGGTTTTATACTAAGGTTTCAGTGATTTCTGGTATAAAATGTAAATAGATCACTATTTATTATAGGAATAGGGACACTACACTGGGAAACCAAAATGTGTTTGGAACTCTGCTTGAGTTTGGTCAAGCAAGCACAAAATTTTAACTTCAAATGCTATAATAAAAACGATCCATCTCCCTCTTTGTATTTCTCACTGGGAGTGTCTCTTTCAGGTGTTCACCACCATTGAGAACAACCCTTCCTAATGGTTTCTGCCATTTCATTTCTTAAAATCTTCAAAAGTTAGAAATAAAAATGATGGCTTTTCAAGGACTTCCAAATGCATATATATGTGTGTGTGGTTTTGTGTGGTCTCCCCGCAGGCTCAGGAATAAAGCTAAAAATAACAAACTCGAAGTCCAGGAGAAGCAAACAGTTTGAAAAGAAGGCCGAAGGTCTCGGATAATCAGCACGTTGTTAGACCGGGTGTGCCCACTGGCACAGGATCTTACAGGGAGAGGCTGGACATTCAGGATGTTGATGAGTAAAAGTAGAAGGTGGAAAAGTAGAACACACAAGGCCCAGTATTCTGACAACCTGGTGCAAGCGCAGCCCAAAATAATTACTACTGCTGGAGAAGCTGTTTTGTTTTACACTGTGTCCTTGTTCAAATAGAGAAGTAGTAATAATAAAAATAACTACTAGAATAAAGCAACTCATTTAAATAATACATAGGCCATATAAAGCTATTTATTTATATTAACAAGATCTGTATTTTTTTTTCTCTCTCTTTTCCATCCAGGGTCGCCAACATCCTGACCAGCAGGAATTTCTGTTAGCCGGCTGTGTGAACAGTGTGGAGCAAGTGGATTCTGATTTAAAGTCGCCCAGCGCATTAACTGCCTCAATGTGTGGAGAGATATAAGCTGGGGCCCAAGGGCAAAAAAATAAAAACAAATTAACCAGAGAAAAGGGCGGCGGGGGTGTGTATGGGGTGGGGGAGTACTTCTCGCCAGCTGCGGAGGATGCCTACAAACTTGTTTGACTTCATCTCCTCCCTGACAGGGAGATCAGGACTGAACTTGTCGAAGGTGAGCGGGACTTGGCCAGAGCCAGGGTGCGCTAAGCAGCGGCCCTGGGCAGGAGCGGGGTTTCCAACTGGAAGGTGCAAGGGACAGAAGCTAAAGAAACCAGCCTCCAAGGCCATGAGACCGCCCTAACAGAGGTCAAAGCCTGCGGGGTAAGACTGGCTCCTGACAGCTCTGCGCCCCTGTTTGCAGCGGTGTTTGCAACAGCGGACTCTGGCGTGGGGAAGGCGGCCTTCCCAAAGACGGCCACCCGGAGGGGACACGACGGACGCGACAGGTCCCCAGGCCCTTCCCGTTTGCGGTTCCCCTCTCCCCCGACCCCACCCGCACCTCCAGCCTGCCAGTCTCAGCCTCCTGCGGCCTCGCCCCTCTCGGGCGAGACCCCTGAGCGCGTCGGGGTCCCGCTGCCTGCGCTCCCTTACCCAGCCAGAAGTGCAGGCGGTAGGTGAAGCTCTGGCCCGCCTTGGCCGTGTGCAGCACCAGGTAGGCATCCCCGACGTAGAAGTCTCCGTAAGCGCTCTGGGGCACCGGCACCAGCTCGAGCTTCTCGACCCGCCAGACCTGCAGCCCCGCCTGCTTGCCAGCTCCCGCGAACTCCTCGTGGTACAGCCCCTGGGACATGGCTCGGACAGGCTCTGCTCCGGCAAAGGGGCTTGCGATCCAGTCGATCTGGAAGTCGGACCAATCCGAGACCTGCAGTAGGGACCCTGTTGGCCGCGGTTTTATAGGATTCGCCCTGCGGGGAGGCGGGGCTCGGAAGAAGGAGGGGCTAAGTGCCCGAGCCCCAGTCACTCCGGGAGTAGGGGATCCCTTCCCATTCTCATTGCTGCGCCTAGTACCGAACTCCTGCGCCCTACTCCGAGTTAGCAGGAGAATCAGAATCTCAGAAATCCAGAGATGCGGAGGGAATTTAAAGAAATTCTTGAAAATGCCTACTGGTCTAAGGAAGGACATTTCTTTCTGGTAACACATGGAGGAGATCAACAATTTAAATTCCAGTGGGCGCATTCTTCTTTAAAAAAAAGAAAAAAAAAAGAAAAGGTCTGTCCAGGCAACAGTCATCTTCATCACGAACTCCTTCATTTCATTGGCCAGTCTCTCCATTCCTGATAGCCAAAATTTCTGTCTTGATCGTTCTGATTTGAAAATGCCGTAAAAAAACAAAAATGTCAGCTTTCTTGGAAAGGATGAAGAGCTGGAAGGCTGATGGTCCGGTGCAGGGGACACAGCTCTTGTAAATCCCCGGGGGTTCAGGAGCTGTGTTAAAGCTCTGCCACCTGCTGCCTTTGGCTGTGCGGTATTATGCGCAGTTTGCCTTGTGAGTTAGCTGGTACCTGGCTTCAACAGGGCGATTTCTCATCATTTACCTTACAGTTTTTGCTTTTGCAGCACTGTATCATACATGTTGATGTTTACTCCTTATTTTGCGTTCTTTTAACCACAGTTCTTTTAACCTTATTTTGCGTTCTTTTAACAAAGGATTTTGTTATTGAAAAAGCAAATCGCCCAGGATCTGAAGATTAAAGAAAACTGATTTTTATGCATGTGCATTTTCTTTCACTATTTCCCAAATTACAAAAGTCCCCAGAAGGTCCCTAATCATGTACAATTCAATTTTTCCTTAATTAATTTAATTTTTATATAGGTATTACATGACTACAGGAGAAAAATGTACAAAAGTACAAAGTTGTGAAATAAAAAAATTAACTTAATTTCACCTGCTACCCAATTGCTTTCCCCAGAGGCAGCTAAGTTACCAGTTTCTTATGTATTTTTCCAAAAATACTCTTCTAGCTACAAGAATATAGGTAATATTTCTATTTTCTAATATAAATGGCATTATAACACTGTTCTTAAAGAATTTATCAATATATATTATTACACAGTGCTCCTAGAGCTGCCTTTTTTGCTACTGTGGTAAACAGAAATATCATCTTATAAATGTACTGTAGCTTATTTAAACTGTCCAAGTTCATAGACATTTACATTTTTTTCTGTCTTTTGCTAATACGATGTTGTAAACAACATTTTTGAACATACTTCTTTATACACATCCATTATTATAACTGAGTTAAATTCCTAGAAATATAATTGCTGGAGGGGTTGGAATTAAATGGGTGGTGATGATAATTATGAAACCAGTCACTACAATTTATTGTTCTGCAGTGATGGGCTATGACACATCAATTCCTGCCTCCATCTCTTGGTTCTGAGGTTTTTGGCAAGTTAGCAAATCGTAGTAAGTCTCAGACTCCTCATCTAAAAAATGGGAAAACAGTAGTATTTACCATAAAGATTGTTATTTGGATGAAATGAGATGACACAGTAAAGCATGCGTCTGTTACATAGAAAATGCTCAGTCATCAAAAGCTATTATTTTTGTGGCAGTCAGCTTTCTGTTGCTCCTCTAGGTACCTTCACCATTCTGCAGCCTGCAGTCTTCCCTCAGGGCTGACTTGCATGGACTAAAGCAACTAGTCTTTGATAACCTCAAGCTTAGGGGTTGGTTGGAAATCAAAGGGGGATAGAAGAGTGAGGTCAGACTATTTGACGTGGTCCCTTCTACCAAAAGTCACTGTAACTCTATGTCGCTTTTTCTCTCTTTTTAGTTTCCAGCAACCAGGTGCATTATCCTTCTTGGTTTTTCTGTCCCTCTACTTCTATGTATTGCCTACTAAAACAAAACAAAACCCCCAAAACTTCTGGCATTTTCCTATTTTGTGAGTATCATATGCTTATAGGTTGAGATGCTGATTGATAAATATTATTAGCTATATTCTCTTTTTTCCCCCCTCCTAACCAGAATAATAAAAGCTAGGTATAATGAGGCTCATTTTATAGATGAGAAAACTGAGTAAGGCTCTGGAACTTGTCAAAGGTTGCCCAACTGTAAATGGCTGAGGAGGAATTCACAAAGGCCACTATGTCTCATTCGGAAGCACATGCTATTTACCAAAAGTCATTCTTTCAGTCCAATTATTTAGTTAAGATTTGCTCACATAAATAGACTTCATATTTTTGTTTCTTCCAGTTTATCCTCAGAGAATCTTCTGATCTAGTATGTCTCATGTAGCACCAAGTTTAGTTTTAACTTTGTCACTGAGTCATTATATGTCTTGGTTTCCTTATCTGTAAAGGAGAAATTGTTCATTCTCTTCTTTCTTCTTGTGAAAAATTATGAGAACTGGTGGTCTGGACACAAGATAACTTAAGATCAGAGTATCACTTAAGTTCAGTTTCAGTTTTAGTAATAATTTCTTTCCTGCTAGTGAAGGAATTCCTTTTAATGAGGAAATAAAAAATAAAAGGGAATAATTTCTATTTAGTAAAGAAATAAAAAAGAACTTTGGTACAGATAAGTGGAATTTCCTCTTTCTTAGGCCAAGACTAGGGTAAGACAAATGTAGCACCTGCTTGGGATGCAAAATTTAGGGGTGCAACAAAAAGGCTTGGGAATCAAGATCAAATTTCAGTCTCTCTCTCTCTCCCTCTCCTCTCTCTCTCTTTTTTGAGAGGAGAGGGAGAGAGAGAATCTTAAGCAGACTCCATGCCCAGTGTGGAGCCCAACAGAGAGCTCAATATCACAACCCTGAGATCATGATCTGAGCGGAAATCAACAGTTGGACACTTAACTGACTGAGCCACCCAGGCACCCCAAGATCAATTGTCTTTTAAGGCAGTATTTTAACAAATCAAAATTGATGCAAAAATCATGATAAAAATTAAAGATTTTCAAATAAAGGTAGACTTGTTCATAATGCTCTCTGAGGCCACATTGGAGACTAAGGGAAAGGAAAAATACTGATCTTTCTTTACTTAAAATTTTGATATTTGGGTTGTCATTTTTTAAATTAATTTTGATATTTTTACAAGTATCACATTGAAATATTATTGATCTTAATCACTTTTTTTCCACTCCCCTTAAATTTGTGCCTGAGGCAAGTAAATCACTTCTGTCACACCAGTTCTATCCTGGCTAAGCAGCCTCCAGACTTAAATTTGCAGCTTCCTGCTAGCAGACCTCCCTAAAATGATCCTGCCAATTTCAAGTTAGCATGTTCAAAACAATCTCATCATTCCCTCCAAACATGTTTCTCCTCCTCTTCCTAATTTCATTAACATGATGTAATTTTGACTCAGCTTTCTCATTTTATCTCCACATTTAATCAACTGGGGTATCCAAAATGTTTCTCAGTCCATCCCAGCTGCCCACATTCTTGCTATGACTCTGAGTCCCATCTTCGGGAGAGGCCTGCCTCAAAGTGAGGGGCTTAGTGTATAGTAGGGCCTTGATGGGGGCTGAATAATGGCTCTTGGACTTTTCAACTGACTGAGCTTGGACAAGTTACCTAACGCTACTGTGTCTCATTTTTCTCACCTGTGGAATGGGAATACTAATTAAGAAAATACCTCATAGGATTGTCGTGAATATTAAATGGATAAATAGATACAAACCTAGAATAGCACCTGGCATATAAGAAGTGACAATAAATTCAAATGAAGTTGATAGTGGCTAATCCATCTCTCCAAATCCACTCCTATCAGAATAATGTCTCAAAGTCTAACGAGATAAGGACTGGCCATTTTCCATACAAAAAGTTTCCTAAAACCAGATAAATTCCTTCCCATGCCTATATTTTCTCTCTCTCATATCCTAGGTCCTTAAAAGTGGATTCTTTTCTCCCATTTGTGTTATAGCCCCTCTTCTACATCTCTCTTAGCAATTCTTTAATATTTAATTAAAGATGCCCAGACTCAACAACATCGTTACCCTGGCTCGACTGAATTTCAGAATCCTGCATGCTCCCAGTGCTGTAGATACACAGTTACCACACGGGAAAGTGTTTTCTCTCACAAGACGGTAGGCTCACTAAGTGACTTGTGTTTCATCATTTTCTTCTCTGGCCTTATGGTAATACACACTGAATCAGTGTGGTTGAATAGTTGATTTTGGATTAAATTACTTTTTATTTTGTAATCAATTTACCAATACTCAGTCCATGTCTAAACAGGCAAGATAATTAAGTCTTTCGCCGAGAATTAGGAGGTTTGAGGTATGAGGACTGTGGTTAAAATCAAGACAGGTGTTCTTCTAGAAGGCTAGTGCTCAAGGGGAAATGTGGCACAGTTTAATTCTTGAAATAAATAACAATGGTAAAGAATATAATTGATTCATTGTGCAATTAATTGGAATGAGTTGATAAAAAAATAAAGACATACAAACAACAAAAAATTGTTTCCAAGTGATCTTCATTCCTCAAGTTGCAGAATCTCAGAGCTCAGACGATCTTATTTTATTTCCATCACTGAATTGTGACCACAGAATTGTTGAAATCAAATACATGCAGAAGACAGAAGTGTATAGTGTGTGTGTGTGTGTGTGTGTGTGTGTGTGTATGTGTGTGTGTATAGTGTGTGTGTATAGTGTGTGTGTATATAAATTTTTTTTGTCAAGAGAAGGAAAAGCTTCAAGGTTGGCATTTATTTGCTTTCTTTTGTCTATAAGTAATGAAATAATGTAATTAAAAATACATTTGTTTTATTGGTAGTCCTGCTATAAAGCAATCACTTTTGTTTGATTTACCAAATGATTTGAGAGTTTAAGTATGAAAACTAGAGTCAGAAGTGTTGAGTGTTGTGAGGATTAAAAGTGATAATGTGCCACAACTGTGAGAACACAATCAATAAACACAGTTAATAATTAGGAAGGGCC